TTGCGTTTACTTGTCATCCTTTTTATAACCTTTTGCTTCGAAACAATACATACTCACACAATAAAACGTTCTGTTATAAATTTTTGGTTAAAACAAAATTAAAAAAACTATAAAAACAGACCAAGCGATAAGCTCTATCTATGGCTTTAATAAAACAATTAAGACATTATTTGGCAGATCATGAAAAGAGTTATCAAAAATGCACCTGACAGCAATTGCAACGTTATGTGGCGTGTGCCGAAAAACATCAAAACTTCAAAAGAAATAAGATAAATCGAACAAATCCACAGCAAATAAAAAACTTATTGGAGAAATTAGAAAGAAAGCTAAGTAATAAAAAAGTGAATTGCTATATATATATATACATATATATATATATATATATATATATACATATAATGCAAATATCAACTCAGATTCACAACTCGTAAACATAAATTCTATTTGAACGAGAGAGGTGAGGTGCGTTTAAGACAAGCTACAGGTTTGAGAAGAGGCATTTAATGACATCTGGCACCGAGTGTGCTATGTATTGGCATGGCCGTTCCAAAAGAGATAACTGTACTGCTATCGTGTCATCATTTTTAATTAGTATTTATTTCGTTTCACATTTTACAGATACAGGCCGAACATGCAAAAGACACATAATGGGAGAAACACCAGAGGCCTTTAACACCTCACTGGAGACACAAAACTCTATATCTGGAGGCACTTTTTTATTTATTCAATAGTTTTTTGGCCACATCTTTGCAATGAAAGTACAATCAAGTATTGCAATTGTGCCTCTTTTACCAAAGTTTAGAAAAAATCTGTGAAATAAATGTATGTTATTTTACACAAAGAAAAAGCTCTGCCTTGCCACTGCTCAATTCATGTACTGGGGTAATTCGAAGGCTTATGAAAGTCATATTCGTAGATATGTTTCCTTTTTAGACTGTCTTTTAATTTGTAAAAATTTTCTATTTTTTTATACCGCCCCATATACTTTGCTCTTACTGACCTATTGAACATCGCGGAGCAAATATATGATGTTCGTCCAAGTCTCACAAATTGTACCCAATACCAGTTTGACTTGTGCCTACAAGACGGTTTTTTTTGCATGATGTTCAGGATAAGTTTGTAAAGCTGTTAATAGTATTATAATTATAATACAATTGATATACATTATTGAAGTTGTTATGTCGCATGTGGTGGTGATAGATAGAGTGACAAGATCACCTATTTTCTTTGCTAATTAAAGAAAATTTAAATTATATAGACAGTTTCAAAATTGTAAGTCCGGGGCAGCGTGGCCGAGTGGTCTAAGGCGCTGGTTTTAGGCACCAGTCAGAAATGGCGTGGGTTCGAATCCCACCGCTGTCACACAATAAGGTCCGATGACCAATTTTTTTAATTTCTAAAACATTTAATAAGTTTCCGAGAATTTAAGTCCTTGTTTATGTATTTATCATGTATCTCCATTGTTATCTGTTAGTGACACATCTCATGTTTTTTAATTATAAATATGTATTTGTGTGTGCCTTATTTTAACCCTTCCATTCTATATTCAGACATTTGTATAAGTAATATATATATATTTATTTATTTTAAAATTGTAAAATGAGAGAGAAAAGGGTTCTTATTACGGAAACATGTTGATCCCGTTAAGTAACCATAGACAACAACATCCTGCAGTGAAATTACTTAAGCAATGCCTTTTCTTCTTTTTTTTTAATGTCTGCGAAGACATCAGTGGTGAAGTTGTTAGAAATTTCTGCAGGAAATTAAAAGATTTCAAATGGAGTTTTGAAAAAGCCTTTCTCTAAACGAAAAATGTAATAATTAACCGTAAATTTAATGAGTTTAACTCAGTAAAGGCAAATTATAAAAAATTCTATTCGCGCTTAAGGGTAATAAGCTGCGTTTGGTTTAAAGGGCAATAGTTTCTTTAAATATCAACGATTGTTGTTACTGCTTGATGACAAAAAAAAAAAAAGTATACACATATTAAACGTTTTCCAAATAAAAAAAAAAAAAAAAGGAAGAAAATTTGTGGTTGAAAAATGTACTTAAATTGTGATTGTGTAAAATGCTTCTTGACTTGTAATATGTTGCACAAACGAGTGAGTCAACTGGAAAAAGTATCAAATGTCACCAATAACACAATTATTTTTCAAAAGTTCTGCTACTGTTATTATTTTTTACTACATCAATGTTTCTTAGATTTGTGCTTAGACGTTGTGCTTCTGCAAGGGGTTGTTAATTAATGATAAAGTATAAAAGTTGTTAACAATAATTCCGCAATCTATAAAGTTTACATAATTCAGGATTTTTAAAGACTTTAAACATATTTTCTTTAATATGCAAGTGAAAGTTTTTCTTTCTAACATTATTTAAAAATGCCCACTACCTTCCATCTCTTAAATTACACAGACTCATGATGATCATTATGATGTTCAAAATCGGAATAAATTATATTTGAAGATTTTTGGAATATTTTAAGATCTTTTCATTAATGAATATCTATCTTCAGTAGGAATTGGTCTGACATTTGCAAAAAATATGAAAATCACCGAACCAATATATAAAAAAAAAAAACATAAGTACAACCCACAAACTAAAACGATAGGCATGCAATCAAGATGCATTTTTATACTAAGACGCCGTCTGAGTGGCTGAGTAGGCAAGAGTCTCGACTAACAACTCAATGGTCGTGGGTTCAAATCTCAAATGCGGTAGAGTTTTTAACACAGCCGAAAGCCTTAGATGCTAATGCTTTAAGACTTTAGTCCTAGAATTTATTCTCTGGCTAAATTTATAATAATAATAATAACAATATACTAAGACGATAAGCGAAGCTGTACATATAAGTGTTTGGAAAAAGTTATAAATATGAGCTTAGAAAGAATATATATCGTACCCGCAGGGCAAAGAGACTTTCCGAAGATGAACCTTATATGCCGGAAATTGAACTTGTATTACATTTTTTCCGCCATAGCATTAAATAACTTTATATATCAGATCTTGTGAGTCATTCTATTGCCATAAATAGAACGATAAAAAAAAAATTTATCAAGTCTATCGCGAATAGATATATTCAAAAATATGTGCTAATAAAACGTAGCTAATTTTGTAAATGACGTATACATGAAAAAAATTAAATTATACATTAATCAAATAGAATGAGTTAAATGACTGACTTTCGTTAGGTGCTTAAAACTGATATAATCGGAAAATCTTAATTAAAAAAATAAGAAATGGAGAGAAACTTTCATCGATTTGAGATATGTACCGTTCGTTTTCTCTTAAAGCACAAACACGAATTTAGACGGATCTTGCTAAACATCCAAGGGATGTGTATACTAAATCGAGCTCTTTACTTGTCGCACTTAAAAATATAAATACGTGCATAAATCCCGTATCAACTTTGCCATTTCTAAGACTTGGGGGCGGGCCACTAGTCGATTTCGTGAATGTTGATTTAATTCTTTTATTGATTGGTTCAATTCAATGCAAATATGGGCATAATATCCTTGCAATATAAATTGATGTAAGTATTTAACAAATTCATTTAAAATCCCTGTTTAGTCCCAATTGACAACTTCCTATGGAAGTACTTTAAAAATTATTAAAAAGTGTCAAGTGTTAACCTGCAGCTGTCTTACTTCCTTCTAATGTACTTGTTAGCACAAGAAAGTCTGGATAGCTAAAGCTTTCTTCCCGGATGTTCTTATCGTTTTCCTTTTGAATCTGTCATAAACGATTTGCTTAATTATGGAATGTGATCAGATAAAAATTGCAGATAATTAGTCCCTTCATAATTAATATTTCATATTAATTTTCCTTTAAAAAGGACTCTTACACAAAGAAATTGAAAAACACAAAAAGGAATAAAATAAAAATTAATAAAATCTAAAACCTAGAAAATTGAGACGTCCAAGTCAGTGCCTGCGAGTTCAAGTCCCAACTGTGCTAGCATTTATCTTGGGTCATTGTTGTGGGAAAGTCGGTAGGGGGTAGTACTTACGATTTTGACATGCACACACTAGGCTGCCGCCGTCATCTCTTTCCCTCTCTTTCGGCACTACTTTCTGAAGGCATCTGCTGATGGATCGCTGTGAGTAAAAAAAAAAAAAAATACAAGAATTTGAAATCAAATCAATATTCATGCAAAGTCTTTACGGAAATCTCGAATGAAACAAATTCTTATATACCAAATTACTTGATTTCTACGTACAGCTTGGATTGACTTTAAAAGTTTATATATTTTACATAATTTTATCTCGACCGCAACATTTTTATAGTTCTATTTTTAAAGTTTAGCGGTCAGGTAAAGTCATCACATATATAACCATTTTATTATTTATATGTAATGCGTATATCCGGACAATTTTATCCAATACTTTATCATTATTATTTTTTCATTATTGTCGAAAAGATTGCAGTCGGCCACAATAGGAAACAGGGATGAGCATCTAGTATTCACTTTAAGTTGCCAAATTTAGAAAAGGGCATGAAATTTTTATACGTAACGTAAGGTAATTTGCAAGCAAACAATTTTTGGCAAGGATTTAAACTTATTTCTAACTTTGCTTTATTTTCATGCAATATTTGCATCGATTTGATAATGAAATTTATTAAAACTGCAAATGTGGATTGCACCGGAAAAAGCTTGAAAATCATTGACGAAAATGTTCAAAAATTAAGAACAATTGCTTGGCATTAACATTCTTGACTCTAGCGAACTGAATCTAAACAATTCCTATTGAAAATTCTTTAACATTCAAGTAGATCGATTATTCGTAAATTAAAGAACGCTTTGAAGAGACATACTATAGTTAAAGATTACATGCATATATATTATAGAATAAGATGAAAAAAAAAAACTTAATTTTATAACTCATTAGTAAAGCATGTATTGAAAAAAAAAAATAAATAAATAAATAAGAGAATAAATTATTATAATAAATAAGGTAAGAGAATTTAAAAATTAAGCGAAATCAAATAAAAATTTTAGTTTGTATTCAGCAATAGATCGGATAAGATCAATTGCGCAAATAACGCGGAATTTTAAAGCTTTCATATACTACCGGTAATCAATCAAAGATGTTTTATAAGAACGCATTTCTAATTGTTAAGTTAATCGTGCTACTAAGTACGTTACGTCATAGTGCAGCTTACGGAGGTTAGCATACAAAAACAAGTTTTTTATTAGTAGAGTTAGCTAATGATAGCAACAAATTTATTCATATCTTTTTTTAGTGACACAACATTGTTATAATCCTAATGGTCGTTTAGGTCGTTGCATATCAGTGTACGAATGTGAAACAATTTTGAAAATATTTGTGCATCAGCAAGCTGATGCTTATGAATTTGCCCGTAAATCTGAGTGTGCGAACGGTCAAGGTACTAAACCATACGTGTGCTGTACTGCTGATACAGGATTCACGGACAGAACAGAATATCGAGGGCATCGTGTCATTTTTCCGAGCAGTGAAGAGGACGATACCCGGTATGAATTTAAGTTACCAGATGGGTATGATCGAAAATTAACACAAACTGATCTATTTCCTAAACATCCAAACTGCGGACATGTGACGATATCAAATAAAATATACGGTGGCGAAGAAGCCGAACTAACAGAATTTGCTTGGCTAGCGAATTTGGAATACAAAACTCGTAAGTTACGACGATAAGGATTAAAACTTTTTCAATTTTGCATAGCTTGCAAATTTTCCTAAAAGACGCCAGAAAATCTATATATGCTTGATAGTGATTAGTGCGAAGAGCAGAATAGCAGAATAATATGGATATAGTAGCGCTTTTACAGTTATTTGTGGAAAAGTGAATATCTGTGTTGTGATAAAATTCAAAATCTTGGTTTTGCGTTTGGCAGGGTGTGTTCAATCCTATTCATATTTTACAAGCAAGATCAATGCATATTTTTATCGCAACAAGTGTAGCGAGTGACATATATTTGCAAAGAAGTTGAACAAAGCCTTTCTGATACACACCACACTTAATATTGTGACAACAACAACATTTGCAGAGATATTGTCTAGCTTAAGTTTTAACTTTACTTTTTCATTTTCTTTTGATTCATTTAAACCTCCAGCAAATGGAAATTTGGTGTCCGTATGTGCGGGTAACATAATCAATAAACGTTACATTTTAACAGCAGCGCATTGCATTGTGGGTGCTATCGAACGCGAAGTTGGTCGATTGTAAGTTGAGACAGTGCAAGTAATCCTTTTTTTACACGGTAGAAGCGGTCTTTAGAAACGCTTGCGTAAAAAAAAAAAACGTCTAAAGAAAATACATACGACATAGAGTAAATTTTAAAGATCGTGTAAGATGGAAAACGCTAACCGTGCAAAAAAAGTAATAATCAATTCGATATGACATATTTATAAAAAACAAATTAAAATTAGTCTACATCGAAAATACAGTCCAGTACAGTACAGTACAGATATGTCTAGCACATCTCACGTCAGATTTGATCCAAATGAAAAATTTCGTATTTTGGAAAAATTCGTGTGAAACAGTGTGTTGGTGAACCGCATTATTTTAAACTCGTGTAGAAAAAGGAACGTGTAAAAAAAGAATTGGTTCTTGTTTGATCAAACAATTTCTCTTATATCGCATTCACAGGGTATCATTACGTGTTGGCGATCATTATACACAAAGTCATACTGATTGTAATCAATTTCATTGTATTGATCCTTTTCAACGTTTGGGTATTGAAAAATATAAAGTTCATGAAAACTTTCAAAGTATAACTAGTGATGGTATACGCAATTATAATGATATAGCATTAATACGCACTAGTCGTGATATCCCGTTTAAAGACTCGATACAACCAGTGTGCTTGCCGGATGGAGACCTATTGTCGCCATTAAAAGCCGGAATGTCATTGACTGTAGCTGGCTGGGGTCATAATGGTACTGGTAAGTGAGCTTTGGCAACTACTTTGCTTTGTAATTACGATAAATTCCCTAAATAATTTTTTTTTTTAGTTAAGTACACTAATGAGAAACGCAAAGTGGACGTACCGTACGTAGAAAATCATAATTGTCGTTTAAAAGTAAGTGATTCGCAACTTTGCGCTGGTGGTGTTTATATGAAAGATAGCTGTACCGGCGATTCAGGTGGTGCTTTAATGCGTATCAGTCCGAGCGGTTGGATTATAGAAGGCATTGTTTCATATGGCCGAGGTTGCGGATTAGAACAGCCTGCAGTTTACACACGTGTACGCAAATACATCCAATGGATACGCGACAATGTCGTACCCTAGCGAAGAAAATCGTATTCGCTTGGAAAGCTGCGTGTTTTCCTGAGTCATTGTGTGAATCATTGTGATATATATATACATATATATGTATATGTATTTTTGTAGCCATTAAAATTTACGCTCAATTAATGTTTTAAATAATTTCTTTTTATGTATAAATTGTTAAAATTAATTAGTAAAACTATTAAGTGTAAATTATATATGTAAAGTATTTTTATGCTCTTGACTTAAATTTAAGATCAGCATGTAAAAAACACTGTAGACCTTAAATAACCTAAATCACTCTGCAGCAATTCATATAATGATAAAATAAACCGTTATAAGGGAAATGGTCGAAAAAGTGATCCGATCCGACTCATTTTCAACAGCGTTTCTCCTCCACGCCAGTTCATGAAATTTCGTCAAAATTTCTCGAAAATTGCACAAAAAAAACAAGACGAACGGATGGACAGACAAGCTTAGTTTGATGTGGAAAGTGATTCTGAATTGATCAATATAATAAAAGGTGGATGTACTTCAAGTCTTTCTTGGTGTCGCATAGATTTAGATTATTTCATTTCGCGCTCCCAACACACAAGTTACGTATAACTAGCAAAGGTGCCTAAGATTGATTTTATGCTACTTATGGAAAGAATTGCTTTGAGCAATCATAAGATGACCGCGCCAATTGTAAGGCGTATTCCAATGAAGATGAAATTAATTAATTAATTAGTCTGGTCCATTAAAGTTTTCTGATATCATTCGGTTATGCACACCCATTTTTCAACTAGTCTGCCCAAGTCTTTTTCTCTCTCTATCCCACCACTTACTAGGCAAAGGGAGATGAACAGTGAAGGTGTAAAGTTGACAGCAGTGCGTTTGCTCAACACTTCGCATATTAATTTTTCTTAGTCCAAGATTTCATTAATCTGCAACCAAAGTTTTCTATCATCCTCTGACTTCTTTATTAAGTGGCAGTCGCTGCTCCATAACCACCAAAGTAAACTGAGTAAGATTAAAATTATTTCTGATGAAACTTTAGGTGTATTAGTACGTTTAGGGAACTTAGGGAACATAACCAACGCAAACTTGAATTCATCTTTTAAGTGCCTATAAAACTCTTAAATATTTTGGTTCGGAATAATCAGTGATTATAACTCTGAGCAACTTAAATCTAAAAATACTGAGATTAAGTAGAGAAAGATGTTTTAGTAATATTTACGCAACATATGCGTAAGTCAAAATGTCATCACATTTCAACCATTAGTTTACGAAGTCACTTTAGTTTTCAATCGACAAATCTGCATTTCATGTGCACTGTCAGTAAATCAACTCCAACCCTCCTCCAGTGACAACATCTATACGTCATTCGCTTGAATAGGCAAATGATCCGGCCTAATAACTCAATGGTCGCGGGTTCAAATCTCAAATGCCGATAGCTTTAGGTGCTAGTATTTTAAAACTTTAGTCTTTGAATTTATTTCTCTAGCTAAATTAGGAATAATAAAAATAATAAAAAATATGCCATACTACAAACTTATTGAGTGATGTGCTATTCTCTTCTCATTCTCTCTCTCTTCTCTTCAGAAGGCAAATAAACGATGTTTCGATCTAGTTATTGCTTGCACGTACGTATTTATATTCCTGAAATACACATACATATATATATATATATATATATATATATAATAAGAATGATCCTTAGAAGAAGCTTTATTTGCCACTTTTAAATTCACTAAAACCAGAAGCTAATTTTAAACATTTTTCTATAAAGTTGCTTTTGTACCCAACTCTTGTCTTTTCCATTCCCATTTTCATTCCATAGATTACTACTAGTACTTCTTTATGACAAGACTTCTTCTCAGTTAACCTCGCACAGCCAATAAAGAATTAAAGCACACCTCCCCAGCCCCTACCCATAATACCAATATCAAGTCAACAAAAAGATATGCCGCCGCTTCGTGCTGTTCCTCATTTGAATTACACGGAAATATTGGTTGCCGTATGACATTGTGTTGTCATCGGAGCTAAAAGTATGTACAAAATCTCGCCATGATTGCAAAGGAGGAAATGCTTGAAATGCTGACAGGCGAATACATCAGAGTGCGACCCCATTCGAAGGTCATTATTGTACTTGCTTTCAAATCTATTCTTCTTTCGAAGAAAAATTTTTTCAGCGATTGTTCTTATCACAGCTTACACAGCTAAAGAAACAAACTTGTACCAATGAATTGTAATTTCGAGTTATTGCGTACGTGGTAAATGGAGAGAATCCCCTTTTTATTAAAAATTTCTGATAGATGAATTAAAAATTTTCCATTGTATGTGTGGGCATCGACAAATGATCATATTTCACAAAATAAATTAATTAAAATCTATGAATGAACTTATTACACGCATGTAACAATAGCTTAGAAAATATATATATATATGTATATATGTAAATAGATTAGTAATAAATGAAAGCAAGAATAACCGCACATATGGTATAAAGTCCGCTTATAAACTAAATTTAGAATAGAAAGCTAAACGTAAAGCGTGTTATACATTTAACAGCTCATTACAACAACAATAGGAATTTTAATGAAAATGAACGACATTTTTTTTTATGATCGTCTAAGTCTCTATTAGAAAATTTTTAATGAAATTCATAGGAAATCTTAGTTATTTTTAAATAAATTTTTATAAAATGTAGATAAACAGAGAACAGACAAAATTTATGCATGCTTTGTTATTGATGACTAATATAAACATACAGAATAGCTTTCAGCGCTAAGCGCTAAGGTATTCCCCCGACAGCAGCTTATTATCGACAGTAAAGCAACTAAGATATATTTTTATTATGAAATGCGGACTTTTTTTCAACACTCAGTTAATATCGTTTAATTACCAAAACCACAACGGCAAAGAAAAATTAAAGAAGATGGTTAACACGTTCACTGCCACGATGTTTATAAAGATTCCCGTATAAAAAGCTGAGCTGAGCTGCTTGAAATCACTCATATATACCAGGAATCTGACAGCAGATGTACTTATATGGAAAGTACACAAACTACGAGTTATCTCTTACCTGGCAGTTAACGCGCTAATAACTGCAATGTTTGTTTGTCAAAATATATGCTACAAATAGTTCCAAATGTCATTCACATTTTTTGTTACTGCTGTTCTATATTAATTTTCTCTTTCCTCTCTTCGCCCGTAAGAAAAAGTAAACATAATTCCAGTTCTTCAATGATTTGTGCTGCGGACATGTGTGCAAATAAAAATATTTAGCTATAGAATATACTTAATATAACAACTTGTATCAATATGTCAATATGTTTTGCGTAATTGTTATGACTTGTTAATACCTTGACATTGACATACAAATTTGAATCAATTGCTTAGCTTGAAAGAGAATCAATGTTTAAAGATAATGCTATGAAAAACATTCATTTGATAAGAAGAGTAGACGTAATTATGATTGAAGAGAGAATTTTCACATCTCGATACAAGTGAAAACACACTAACGGGCCAGGGCTTACTATTAGATACCCTACATCACTCCGTATGGCATAGTTACTTATTCATAGAACAACTTTTCAACATAAAGCTTTATATGGGGAATGGTCGAAAAAGTTTCCCGATCAGCACTGTTTGCAACATCGTCCATACACGATGGTGCACTAAGTTTCATCAAAATATCTCAAATAGTGCGAGCTGTAGTTTAAACAAAAATTTACAAAATGGACAGATGTACAGACGGATGGACAGACAAGCTTAGATCTATGCGATGGGTTTAATAAAAGGTGGATCCATCTCAAGTCCTTGTGGGTGTTGCATATATACGGCCAAACTTAATATACCCTTGTAGGGTATAAAAAGTAAATCGAAAACTATAAACATTTTACAAAGATGAGATGTAAACCTAAGACCGGTGTTTTAATGAAATAAGATATTTGAGGACATTTTAAGCGACATACCCGAGCAAGATATGTTAGTACAAATGTAGCGTTCAAAGGCTGTAATATTTCTAATTATTTTGTAAATATATTTCTAAATAAAATCCTTTGATAAGACATTCGAAATACACTTCAGTGTCCACAACCGTACCTTCCTTTTTCAATCCTCACAATGCGCTTCAAAGATCTCATTGTTTCACATTGGCATATAGCGTACAGTCGCTGGGACCAAGATTTGGAGAATACGGTGAATGTGGCAGCAATTTGGACTTCAATTAAGCAGACTTACGAAGCGATATGACTTTGTTTCATTGTGAGTAAACATGGTTTGTATTTGGTAAATAGAGTTCTAATCCGCAGCAGTCACGACGTCAGTTGTCTTTCGCAACTTCGCTTTCCTGTCATTAATAATATTTTTCAGAATTTTAATGATTTTCCCATCCAGTGCGTTCAGCATTATTAGTATCCGTAAAATCTCGTGACAAATCAACAGAGCCCCGACCAGTTATTGTTTTTCAAAGCGAAGCGAAAACCATAACATTTTTCAGGCCAACGCAAGAATCTGAACGGTATTTTTCCCATTCGAAAGCGATACTTAATCAACATACGAACTTTGAAAATTTCCATTGCTTTGAAAATAAAAAAAAGTAGTGTTACTAAAACCACTGTGACCCGTAAACAAATGATTGAAATGATATGAAATTTTGCCAATCGTTTACGCTTTCTAAAAATCATTTCGATAGGATCTTATTGACGAATGCATTATACTGATATAACGAAATTATCTATTAAATAGCAATAAAATAAATTTTTTCAAATTTAAACAAAAGGTCGGATTAATATTGAAAGAATAAAAAAAAAAAAAAGAAGAGAAAAGCATTTGATCAGACTTTCGAATGAACCAGTATTTCCTCAATTGGAATCATAGATTAAACGTAAAAAATATATCTTGATAAATGTTGCATAAGGTTGCGTAGGTTGTAAAAAAGTTTTGGAATTCCTTGAAAATGCAAAAGAACAATTTAACAATTGTAAGTGTAACAATGTGCGTGCATTAGTTTTAATCGTATAAAGTATTAACATTTTTTACAACTATGACAATCATATGTGGGAAAACAATGCTTGTTGCTCGCTATAATTAGAAATACAACAAAGCTAAGATCCTAGTGATATTCTGAATATATTAACTTATGTCCGTTCCCCTATCCGGCCAATTGTTATACGAAAGATTACTCATGCCACTCCAGAACGAGAGTAAGAGCATACAACACTTCAAAGACAGTTCAAAGCTCAATGTAAAAATGACCTCGCAATTGATGCGAGCAGTCTTAAAGACTCATCCTTTGACTTGGATAACTTTCTTAGTTAATATTAAAAGTACTATCATGGCGTTATTAAAAAAAAAAAAAAACATTATATTTGAATCATGAAAGCGTAAGCGTTGACTAATTAAATGATATTAAATTTACTTTGAAATAAAGAAAAACCTTTTTTATAAGACACACATTCGCACAAAAATTTAAATATTAATTTTATTCTTCGTTTCACTACGCCGAAGCGATAGCTGCTTGCCGTTCTAAGCTTTGCTTTATTTTGTTAAATAATTAAGTATAAAAGCCTTGATGCGTTCGTATATAGATTACAGTTAAATTTCAAGCACTAAACCGATCACTGCATCGCTCCTTTTGAGAAACTCTGATATATAATTTCATTATTTTCATTTTTTTATTCTTTCGCTAAAAATAAAAAAAAAAAAAAAGGAAAAACAAAGTGAACCTGTAGTAAACTAATTATTTAAATAAATGAAATAACTATGAAAATGCATGCAATTATTGTGTTTTTGCTATTAACGATCATCAATTCGAATGCTCAAAACTTCATTAATGCAAACAGTAAGTGTAACCGTTATTTAACCTATAAATAGAAACGGAAGTTGGAATTAATCTTTCGCAAGTTTTATTCAATTAAACGTTAAAAGAAGGATTTGTTCTTAAATTTAATAAATTGTTTTCCAATTACATAAAAGACAAAAGAGTATAGTAAGTGCCTGTAAAAAAAGAGTGAAATAGAAAAACTGTGACTTCTAGTGGTGCATATAGAAAAATAACCCAACGACTGGTTTGACTAAGCATTTCATTATGAAATTGAATAAGAAATGGAAAAAAGACGATAGTTGTGAAATAATCTAATAACTTATTTATGTTTGTTGTGTTTATCATTGTAAAATGTTTTTCATTTATAAGATGATAAATAACTATTTACTCTTTACTTATGCCGTACACCATTTATTAAATTTGTGCAAATGCGTACGACATGCAGAAGAACTTAAGAAAGGTAGAGCCGCCTGCTGGATCCATATCCAGAATCACTTTTTTTTTGTTCAATATGCGGCTGATGATTTTTTAAATACTTTGATAAAACTGGACATGACATAGTGGTTCGGTGCAAGGACGAACATTATTGAATATGCTTCGGATCGAACCACTTTTTCGAACACTTCCCGTGTAATGCCTTGCTGGAGTAATGTTTCTATTAAGTTCTACTAAGTTTACCGATTGATTTTGAACCACTTTCTGAATTATTTCAAGCTTGTCTGTCCGTCTGTCCCCTTGCTTTCTACACGTTGCAATTTTTGAGATTTTCTTTGAAGAGATTTCGTTCGATGTGTGTTTTGTATGGTTTGGTCAAAGGATGAACACTACTGAATATGGTTCGGAAAGGGGCTAATTCTTCGATTCCTCCCCAAAAGAACGCCTTATTTTGAAAAGTCGTTGTATGAATGACAGAGTATTTAATGATGGGTTGCATCCCACCGTAAAACTTTTACTTGTTTTTTCCTCATTAAGGTTTTTCTTCTTTCCGGTTAATATGTACCACAGCATTAACATTTTTTATAGGAATTAACTTTTTTATAACAGTCATCAAAGAACCGCAACATTATGATCACTCTTCGAATATAATTTGATTTAAATTTACTCTCAAAAGTAAGGCGGAATTGGTTGACTTTTGTCTCTGCTATCCCGTTTACGAAACATTTTCAAACTGAGTTTTATTATTTACTATATATGTAACTATTAATAAACACTGTTATATAATCATTTTAATTGATTCTTAATTGATTGAGTTGAGATTATTTCTTAATGAATCATTGCAATCAGATGTAAAAAGAAAAAAAAAAAAAAAAAATAAAAAATATTTTTTAAATTAATTTTAAATAACAAGATTTAAAAAAATATATATATATATATATATATATATATAGATTGCATATAGGAAAGGTAGTATGTATAAAAGTCTGTAGATTCTTATATGTAACATATAATTAACGAGCAGATCATATATGATGTGAGTAATTACTATAGCTACTCAAGAAAATTGAAGGCTTTTTAAATGTAGGTAAAGTACAGGTGCTTAAGGTCAACGACCCATTATTCATCAAATTTCTTTGAAATAAAAATTTACAGAAATCTTAGCATTTTAAAAACACAGACCAAGATTATATTGCATACTATAACAAGATCTTTCTTTCTTATTCTTTCAATTTAAAGCATTCAGAACCAACAGCAACAATAATAATAATATTCGCCGTTGCTTGAATCCAAATCGACGCATTGGTACTTGCGTGGCCATACAAAATTGCCAAGTTCTTATGCATAGCGACTATGATTTCATAAGAGCTTCACGATGTGGTGGCGGCTTTGGTACAACTCCAATGGTTTGCTGCTCAAGTGATACGGGTTTCACGCAAAATTTCATCAATGAAGTCTACGATTATAGCAACGAATTTAATCAGAACGAGATATATGAACAACGTCAAGGATCATCAGTAAGAGACAATTATTGGATGGAAAGTGCTAGCATAGAAAATGCTATAAGTTTATTACCAAAACCTCCAACTTGTGGTGGAGAATTCATAGACAATCGTATCTATGGTGGACGCAATGCGGATCTACATGAGTTTCCTTGGCTGGCTTTTTTGGAATATTCAAATGCAGGTAAACGAATTTGAAGACTTTTTTAAAATTTCTTTTTTCTTCTTCTCTAAAAAACGAAAATGAGTTTGGGCTTAAATGTCTGTTGTTAACAATTTCTTCAAGTTCCTATGTTTATTAGGACTTGGAAATTTACTATTTTCGATTGATTGACTTACTCGAATAGTTAGTTATCTCACAAGATCAAGTCTAGGAGAAAATTAATCTATGCTATCTAATCTATGTATGCTTTTTTGGTTTACTTCTCAGATCCTAATACGGATATGGTATGTGCGGGAACTTTAATAAATCCTCGTTACGTGCTAACGGCTGCCCATTGTGTGAAAGGCGCAGTTCTCAGGCTGAAAGGAGAATTGTAAGTGTCTTAAATTGATTAACCGACAAAAAAAAAAAATTATATTCGTTTACTCTACTTCGCAGAGTGGCAGTACGTCTTGGCGTCCACGATTATACACAAAATATGCGATTGACTAACAATGTAGAGAGGGTAAGAGTAATGGAAAGGATTGTGCATGAATTGTATAAATCTGGTAAAAATCCTTTGAATGATATTGCACTTCTACGATTAGAGAATAATGTGCGATATTCTAAGACCATAAGACCTATTTGCATGCCATCGGTGTTAAGAGATTACGCACTCGGAATGAATGCCAATCTAACAGTAATCGGTTGGGGTGCTACCGAAAAAAAATCAAGTAGTGCTGTAAAACAAAGTGTCAGCGTACCGTTATTTGATCAAAAATATTGTCAACAACAATACGCCACACTAGGATTGAATATTGAATGGACACAAATCTGTGCCGGCGGTGAATTAAATAAAGACAGTTGCCGTGGGGATTCGGGTGCGCCACTAATGCATAACCATAACGGTATTTGGATTTTACAAGGTGTGGTCTCATTTGGACGCCGTTGTGGTAACGAAGGTTGGCCCGGAGTGTATTCACGCGTCAGCAGCTACACTGAATGGATTTTGGGAAAATTAAGGGCTTAAGGATAAAAATTTTCAATTATTTACTGGTAGTTCTAATACAAATGAACTGATAGAATTAAAATGACTTGTAGTTAATTGTAAAAAAAAAAAAAAAAGAAATTAATTTTGACTAAGAAATATTAATTTAAATAAATTTTAAGAAGAAAGGCTATTGTGTCTATTCAGTTAAGCAAACGGGGGTAGTTTTCTTAGTACTTTCCTATCCTGCTCTTAGTACATAGGGCTCGGACTGGATTACCGCCTCCACATCCTCAGTAATGAAGTTTTTACTATGGTTAGCATATTGCTACCAAATCTCGCCCTACTCCAAAATGAAAAGTCGCCTATACACACAGTCAAGAAGGTATAGTCTTGATTTGAGAAGCCTGAGGAAATCATCAAGTGTCTTCCCTGGCCAGTGCAATAGCCAACTAGAACATAGCTAAACCATTGTTGGGTGTTTTAGAGTAGATTTCGGACAAGAATGGGACAACGTTCACTCTACGAATATATTCCGCGAAGAATTGCAGTTGTTTCGTAAGCAAAAGATGAGATAGTTACTTGAATTAAGAATCACATTTGGTGAAATATTTGAAGAACAAATTCAAAGTTCTAAACTGCTTGTGAGATTGCAATGTAAGAAAATATGTACTTGTTCGTTGGTTGGTTGCGGATGGGCGTCTAAGGAAATTTTCTCGATTTTCAAACTTGACTTGACTTGGTGCGCGTGCTAACGAACAATTTGAAATCAGGTTTATGTATTGCGTTATATATATATAAGAGTAGATACCCATATATATAAAATTTGCATAACTCCAAGGCGTATCTCTATGCGTTTTAAATATATATAGCAAAACAAATATATCGTAAAAAAGTTCTTTACTGTATTTACTGAACTGAACTGTGTTGTGTGACAGAGGCTTCCCTATGCATTCTTTATGAATCCTTTGTAGTGGAAGTATGCATATATTTTCTAGTCTGCTCGGCTATTCACACCAAGACTGTCACTCTTTAAAATGTCAAAATGAATTCGCAAAGAGCGTCACTATCATTAAAAGAATTCCATTGATATATTTTTTTAAATACTTCTCTTATACCAAGGCGAGCTCGACGCAAAGTTTCATTATTAAAACTTATATATGAAATTATTAGACTAAGTTTATTAACAAATTTGGCTAACATAAATTATAATTTATTGATACCAGATTTTATTCTATGTGGGGTAGTGTTGTACTTTCAGCGAAAATCCAATTCAAGATTTACGCTGAACGTGTCATTTGTTTATATACGTGCCTGGCACGTATGGACAATGGTCTCTAAAAGTTTTAAGTTTAATATTTTCACATCTCCTCAAACTATACTACAATTTGTCGGCCTATTTACAATATAAACTTCAATGAAAGTGAAAACTTTCCTTGGTTTCTACAACGTACCGATTGGTTTTCTATATTGTATTTGGGTAAAAAAGAGAAAAAAAAAAAAAGCAGACTTACGTAACTGATCTGTTTACCTGGATTGAAATGCAAACGACCGCTAACTAAGCCATTTGAGTAATGATCTCGTTTTTAGTGAACTGTTCCGCTTTTTGTAAATAAAAGAAAAAAAAAATAAAAAAACACATAAAAAGAAAAGGTGTCACGTTCAGTTTAAAGTCAAACATATGTAATCTATTTGTGGTAATTTGTAGTTAAGCAGTTTGTGGATTGATCTTGAACATTTTGTAAATATTTAAATTCGAAATTTTTTGGCATTTATATGAATATTGAATACGTTATTGTAATGCTTTTATTTCTTGTATGCATTTAAATTTAGTACAAAATTTGTTGTTGTATCACAAACGCAGCTCAATTGGAGTATGCGAGGTTTTAATGGTCAGTCAGTCCTAGTTAAGACATAGCAGCAGTTATAGTGTTTTTGTGTGTGGAAAAAAACAATTTTTTTTAAATTTAATTATTTTTACAATTTGTTGACTTTTTTAACGATTATCATGTACGGTTTCGTTTTGCAGATATTATTATTGATTACAGTGATACATCAATATTTGTATTTAGAAACGACGCATGTCAATAAGCTAGAGATTGAAACTTTTTCAAAATGTAAAATTCCGCATCAATCGGAATCTAGTGCTTGTGTTGCAGTGAGCGATTGTTCACCTTATTTAGAAGTGCGTAACTCTTCAGAGTTGACTGCGGAGAGAGTGAATTTTTTGAAAAATATTCAATGTCCTGACTTAATTGATGATTTGGAATCAACGGTATGTTGCCCCGTTCAGGGGCAACGGTACCGAGAGCCACTATTAAAATTTACTCAACTTGCCCATCAAAATCTTAGCGCAAGTACAAAGAAGAAAAAACTTAAACGTCGCATTTATGCGAGCGATCAACTTAATGCGTGTGGGAAACAAGTGACACAACGTATTTATGGCGGTGAAATCGCTGAACTCAATGAGTTTCCCTGGTTGGCTTTACTAATTTACAACACAAGTATGTCGAAATTTAACAAAGCGTTACCAACTTCTTTACAATACATTCTTAGTATTACGACTACAAAGAAATAGAACTGAAGCCCAATGATGCTTACCAGGTTTGTTCCTGTGCCAGAATACTTTTACCCGACACCAGTTGTGGTGGCAAGGATATATTCGTCTCACTCGGCGTTGTACATAACACCGAGAAGGATTTAATTGAAATAAGCTGATTTTTTACTATACCGCTATATACGTGTATTATATCGAAGTTGTCTGTCCGACACAGTAAATTTGTGCAGATGTACGTAAGATCTAGAAGGGCTTGAGATGGGCTCACCTTATATTATACCGAGCAATCCAGAAAGTGATTCTGAGTTTGTCTCTCTGTCTATCCGTCTCTCCGTCTGTCCGCCTTGTATTCTATTGCCTAACAAACAGGTCAGAATTTTTGAGATATTTTGATGAATTATAGTACACTACCGAGTTTTAGCCAAAGGACGAACGCCATTGGAAATGATTCGGATAGGGCCACGTTTTCAACCACTTCCCATATAAAGCTTTATTCCGAAAAATCGTTATAAGAATAGCTGTAGGATTGCGTACCGTATTTGATGGTCCGCCGTAGGCCACTATACCGTGTTTACTTGTTTTGTATAAACTTAATAAAACCAGATGAATTTTACTGCTTGTATGCCTTAGCTAGCTTAGTATTAACTTAGCTATTCTTTATACCGAGGGAAAAATAAGTCTTACGAATAGATGCGATTAGATTTTAAAAGTCTTTTTAACTCTATTCTTGCTTTTGTAGATGAATTCAGTTGCAGTGGTGTTTTAATTGATAGCCGTCATATATTAACAGCCGCTCATTGCGTTAGCGGTGAAGCCTATCGCCTGAAAAAGGGACTGTAAGCCATAGATTTACGATTTGCTTGCTAATCGACATAAATTTTATTAAATTTTTTTGAAATTTTAACTCTCTCCGACTTTATTTATACATAGCAAATATGTCCGTTTAGGAGAATTCAATGTTGGAACTGAACCGGATTGTATTGAGGAAATCAATTATCTAAATTGTGCTGATTCCGTTTCCAATATTGAAATCGACCATATATTTGTACATCCCGAATATAAAGAAAATTCTCGCAATAAGTTTCATGACATAGCTGTCATTCGCCTAGACGAGGAGGTAACATTTACTAATTTTATAATGCCCATATGTTTGCCTAATCGAACTGCTGAGCTATTCGAATTTGAAGAAGGTCAAATATTTTCCGTTTCCGGTTGGGGAAGAACAGATTTATGTAAGCGCATTATTCATCTTCTACAACCAAAAGTAATTAAAAGCTAACATTTTATTCAAAAATTGCAGTTAACAAATACTTTACGAACATACCAAGTCCTATTAAATTAAAGTTGCGCATCCCTTTAGTGTCGCAAGAAAATTGCTCAAAAATAATGCGTCGTTACGGTGTCCAGCTGGGATCAACACAATTATGTGCTGGTGGTGAGTTTGGTAAAGATACTTGCGCGGGAGATAGCGGCGGACCGTTGATGTATTTCGATCGCAAACATTCACGCTGGGTTACCTATGGTGTCGTCAGTTATGGCTTTACCCGATGCGGAGTAGCCGGACATCCGGCTGTTTATACTAAAGTGGCTGCTTACTCGGATTGGATACACAGTGTAGTTACTGACGCTGGCAACGACAGCATTAGTTTGTTGAAAGAAAAATAATTAATTACGCAGCGCGGCTTTCGTTTACGAGTTTAGGTTCAAAAAGTCGACAAAGTTTTAAATTTGAAAAAGATTTAAAAAAATAAAATGAATGGAATGGAAAATGGCAATGCTTTCATTGAAGTAGAGAATAAATTACTTTACACAATCGAAAATGGTTCCCATTATTTGCTATCAATTTCACAGGCAAAGGTATCATTGGTCTTCGATATTATTGAATTTTTGTGCGATAGAAGACTATTGTTTCGTTCTCCTATTTATAGCATTTGTATCAACAGGTGCAGTAAACTTTTCAAAAAAAAAAAAAATTCTAATATTGTTGGTTGTTTTTGTCTGAAAAGACTTTTTATATATGATCATCAGACTAATTTGCTGAAAGGTCTCGTTATTATTATAATTCGATATTTAATATAATTTTTCAATTTGTAATTGCATCCTTGACATCTGACATTGTGTGGCAATAACAATCAAATCTTGGCAAAAATAGAGAACTGACACTATTGAGTAATTAACCCCTGTGAAGAAAAAGGTACTGCTTATAAAGCAAATGTAGGTTTTTTTCTGCCGACGGTTCGAAATAAACTCATCCAATCATTCAACAGTAAGCCAGCAGTCCACAATCGAAAGTAATATCGGTCTTTCTGCATCGCTTTCCTCTTCTTAGCAAAGCATAATTAATTGGTTATGCCTTTTATAATAAGTATATACATATTTTCAAAGCCAAACATAAGTTGTAGTAGAATCCCTTCTTCTTCATACCTCTTTATCGATTCATTTTTGCGGCAGGAAAAATCTCCACAAAAGTATAGTTAAATGAAAAACCTCAGTAGTTCTCGTATGGAGCTCTGTATTTGTTTTGTGTGTAGTGGGATACGGCCCATTATAAAGTTTCCAAACCACTCGATAGTTTATTTTGAAACGCGTTTGAAATGGGCGTGAAAATAAGTATTTGATCACAATATCTACAAAATAGTGAGCTGTAGGTTGAACACAAGAAAACAAGACGGACAGCCGGACAGACAAATTTTTTTTTTGAAATCCCTTGGTATAATGAAAAGTAGGTCGCTCTCAATTCTTTCTGGGATTTACATACATTCGTACAAAGTTGACATATTCTGATACCACAAGTAATGTAGAGGATAATTACTACAATTCATCTGAAGCTTAGCAAACATTATCTTTATTAGTAATTAATTCAATATTTTATCAAAGTGTCCATTTATTCAGTGAAAATTTGTATGCATTAAGCTACTGAAGAAACTCTTGAGGCGAATTTAAGGCTCAAGGCTTTAGTTACACCAGCCGGAATAACTATCAAAAGAAGATTATCGACTATGCCATTAGACGGCACTAAAATGATTCGTACACAACATGAAATGATTTTCGTTCTACCCCAGAACGAAAAAATGTACACAAGCTGATGAAGGATATTCGAAGATTCGAATAAAGCCGCATATAACTTTTTTACTCTTTACTATTATTATTATTATTGTGATTATTTTTTTTCTTTTTTTTTTACAAGTCAATTACACTAATTTTCTTCCTTTTTTTTTGTTTATTTAAACGGCATTCATATAAGCCATGATTTTTTTTTTTTTTTTTTCGTTCAGTTTAATTCCATTAAATTGTTCGAATGTTTCATCTAAAAAACCATATAAGAAGAATAGAAAAAACTGTCAAATTATTTTGACAACCCCATTTAGCTAACAGGCAAACATACAACAATAGCAACCAAAACAACATATTCACCCAAATATATACTTGTTAATAACATATCCTATATCTACACACATAAGGACTTCTTCTTGCATTTAGCGCAAAAAACATTATTATACGTTCGATTGACAAACTGTAAGTGGAACGGTAGGTAGGTAGGTAGGTAGGTAGGTAGATTGCCATTTTATCATTTTATGTGAAAGCATCATTGACATTTTACAGACTCGTTTATTTCTTATTGTTGTTGTTGTTGTTGTTGTTGTTATTATTATTGAAAGAAAGTAAGTAAATATTGAAACATTTAGGTAAAATTTTATTGTTACTGAGAGACATTAAATAAGGGATATTAAAGTAAATTTGGATACATACATCTACCATGTACAATGTGTAACTTAAGGCAAGATTATCCAACTGTTGGGACGGACGCCAATATTTTTTCATTTCACTTCAAAAGCGAAGTCCGAATTCGATGTAATAAAGTGAAGACTCAAATAATTGTCTGTGTACACTTTCGAAGATACCCCTTCGTTATATTAAAAAAAAAAAAAAAAAAGATATAGAGAAGAGCGGGAACAACAAAAAATTTGAGTACCTCGTTTAATTGCAAAGCAAATACATTAGAAAAAGAGTACAAACACTATAATGAGTTATGAGAATTAAATGTCTACACCTTTTCGTCTAGTACAGTTACTTATATATCTGACGTTATATGGAAAAAGAGGCCAAAACACGACAATGCATCAAATTTTATGAAATGATATCAAAATTTGCGACTTTTTCGCACACACATGAACGGACAGGTGGACAGACAAGATTAGATCGCTTCAGGAAGTGATTCTGAATTTGCATATCATAATAAAATGTTGGTCTCTTTCAAGTAGTAAATAAATCGCATAGGATTTGCCCGCTGAAGTTCATAGAGGACTGTGATGCTGAGGAAAATTAACACAGAGGATGCCTACAAGATATGATTGGTTTAGAACTCATCAAAAACTGAAGTTACTCTTGGCAGCCGAAAAATTAAATTGCAAAATATAGCCGTAGTCTTAAGGGCACCCTAAGGCGGTAAATGGTTAGCTGATGAGTGTAAAAGATTCGACTACAGCCGTAAAAAATATTTTTATTGGTTATAATAGTCACTTGTTGTACATTTTGGTGTTGTTTGGATAACGAAAATAGTTTTTATTTATATTTATTAAAAACACCTGATGCACGTGTTTTACAAACACAATTTAACACACACACATAAAAAATCGAAGCCTTAAAAGTATTCATTTGATTTAATGTATAGTAAAGAACGAGGCCATCTTAGATGGTTGGACAAAAACCCATAAGTTTACTATGAGCGTACTCTTTGACCGATCTGACCTATTTTCAACATTAATCTGTGGATAAGAATTTTCAATGTTTCTACCAAATTTCAAATCTAACGCAGCCAGACAGACGGATAGACTTGAATACATTGATTTCGAATTTGACAATGATCAAAATTATATAAATACTTTATAGGGTCGTTGAAGCTCGCTTTCGTGGGAAGTATGCCCCATCGTTCGGGGATGTTTATAACCATCTACATGTTTATCTTCACACTTAAAGATCAGTTTTTCTTATTGTAAACATATGTTATAAATACGTTATACATTTATATTCACATATACGAAATGGAAAATTTGAAGAAATTTCACTTAATAATAAATAAGGAGATGTAAGCGGAAGTGTAAACTCATGTTTGTGGCATGAACATATATAAGTAGTTGAGCTAAGTTGGTGTTCAGTTGAGTTGTTTAGGTGTACAACACTTACTTACGAGAAAAAGAAATACTAATACTAATACTAATACAATACATTATTTAACCTTTATTGACAGACACTGAAGAGACTCAAATACATTATGCAGAAGTTAAACACATTTATAAAGTAACTTTCGGGCGAATTTAATTCCCTTTTGCCCTCTTCTCACAATCAACGATAATTTCACTTTTTTTTTTTTTGTTTTTTTTGTTTTTTGCTCCTTATATCTAAAAGCAATTAGATCGCAATTTACTGTTCACTCTAGTGAACAAAATTCACAAAATACAATTTCATTTAATTTTATTTTATTTTTACTATTACAACACACGCACACATGTGTGATATATTTTCGCTTTAAATGTTTGAACAAATTTCATTTAAATTATTGTTAGCCTTTAGCTATGATTTTATTGCGTATACGAGCTCTAACTCTTCAATGTCATAGACATTGAACCCCTATCCGACAAGTAAACACTTTAAAATATCTGCTTTCGATAACTTTTCGGAAACCCCATGTGTGTTTTATTATTATTATATACATACATATATATACACGCATACAGATTAACATACAAGCACATGCAAGTTTGTAACATTATTTTCTTCTTTTTGTTGTTGTTTTTTTTTTTTTTGTTCCTGCTTACATATAAATTGGACCACATACCCGGGCTTTTTATCCTTTATCACCCTATTGCCTTTGGTTTTTTTTTTTTTTTTTTTTTTTTTGTTGTTTTTTGGAAGACACAAAAATGAAAACAATGAAATAGAAAATATTTGCATACGCGTACCATAAATAAATAAAAAGGAAAATTTTAATTGTTTTTCAAACTGACATCACCTCAAACTATCCGAATGGTTTCATTCATTCACTCATTCATTTAAATAAACTTTTCTCTTCTCTTCTATTGTTCCATAAAAATGTTGATTTTCATATTCGAACAACGACATATTCTCATTCGCATACATCTATAAATATATATGTATTATAGTTTGTTTTGCAAACGGGACCACATGTGCGTATTTGATTGCAAAACTGAAACCGGCTTATTTGTTATAACCACCACCGTCGATTTATTTCATATTTGTACACATAAGTGTTGTGTTAGTATTACTACTGTTGGGTATTAAAAACTTGTAGTTATAGTTTTTAAATTACCTTATATACATATACATATATTATATATATATATATATATATATATACATATAATAGAACAGCGGAATGCCTTCTTTAGATTTCATTCCTTAAAAACACTTTGCAAACATCTTTAAGACTACAAGAGCTGTAATGAGAGTGAATTTAATGTTGATGGTGTTTTTTTTTATACAAAAAAATTTGAAATACTATTTTCAAAAAAACTTTAAAGCAAATTAAGATATCTTAAGGTACATGTGGCATAACACATCATATCTATCAATAATAAACAAATTTAATGATAAGGGGAAAGGAAAATGGCTGGAGGCTGAGCCTTTCGGCACCTATCTCATGTCTT